AAGATCCCCCCCACACCTTTTCCTCCTGCTAACAGAGTTCCAATCCAAATATGGGAAAGAGGATGTTCCAGTTCAGATAAAGGACATATATGGCAGCATTAATTCATTCAGAGTGGTGCTGGAGCACTTGGAACCCATGATCTTCTAGGGCGGTAGCACTGTCAGACTTTCTATTTTCACAGAATCCTTCCTGAATGGACTTATCGCCCAAGAACCGTCCACGCACCTGCCAGGGCTCTTCATCTTAGAGTAGAGGGTTCTGGGTAGTGTTCAAGGCTGCAGACTCACAATTCGCGGGGAGAACTCTGATTGAGCTGAGTATACTGTGGATTACAGCAAGCTCCCCTGCAGCCAGGCACTGCAGTAGCTGAGCCGGGCAAGCTGTCTTGATGGGCCTCTTGGTGCCACAGATGTCCTCACTGTGGAAGTCACGGTTTCCTAAATAGAAGGATGCTAGGATTGCACACCAGGGTTACTATCTGTAGAGGATTCTGGATGAACTGGCTGGATAACTGCCAAGAAACAATTGACTAATGCAAAACTTAGGTAGCAGTGGGGTAGGGGTGCATTAGATGATGGCTGCAAAGATATACCAAGCAGCTTTTGATTCAAGGAGGATAGTCCGGGGACTAAAGGGACAAGCAGTTCTCCTAAAAGTCCCCACGTTAAATTTGTTCACTGCAGCTAACTTGCTTGGTAGCCTTACCCAAGTTTCCCTCCACTCTAGCTTCAGCAGCCCATCTCCAGTATGGGTCTGATAATGGTGGTCTACCGCATAAGGCTGTTGTGAGGTTTAGTGAAAGAATGGATGGGAAGCACCTTAAAAGCTGAAAGCTCAATCTTTACTCTTCTACCTCCACCAGACTTTTAGCCTTCCAGGGAAACGTTTCCACAGCAATTTGATGTTGAACTCCAAATTGAACCTTCACTGTGTTCAGGGGGGAAAATACTTATTATTTAGTTACTTATTTGGAAAATTTCTATGCCTCCTCTCCAAGGAATCATCCCAAGGCAGTTTACAGAAATAAAACATAATAAAATCATAAAACACCATAATAGTTCACAAGGACAACCCAGCATTAAAAACCCAGACTGCACACCAGACAACATAAAGCACTGAGCAGCTTGAGTTATCAGCTCTGAAAAACATGTTATGGCAGAATGCTGTGATTCAATATATTGGTTTTACTGAGCATAGCAGGCCATGGGGTTTGAATCTCAAGCAGGAAGCGGCTTCCATTCAGCACCTTACCTCGACAGCCAGTCTTCGACACAGTGGACTAGCCAAATTAGATGTCCTATGCAACACCTGCTAGATATGCCATTGCGTTGTGCCTTCATTCCTCACTGGCAGGCAGTGATGTGGGTGGTGTCACAGTGTGGTTTGCATTGCAGCATTGCATGTAGAAGGTCCCAAGTTAAATCTCTGGCATCTCCGGTTAAAGGATCGGGTAACAGAAAACTCCTGCCGGAGACCGCAACCAGTCAAAGTAGACAATACTGACCTAGAAAGACAGAGAGTGATTAAAATGTGGCATTCACTGCCAGAGGATGTAGCGATGGCCACAGGAATAAACTGCTTTAAAAGGGGATTAGATAAACTCATGGAGGATAAGTTTATCAATGGCTACTAGCCATGACAACTGAGGGGAACCTTCACATTCAGAGGCACTAAACCTCTGAATCCCAGAGCCAGGAGGCAACATCAGGAAGAAGCTTTGGCCCCCCCGTGCCCTGTTGTAGGCCATCCAGAGGAACTGGTTGGCCACTGTGTGAGACAGGATGCTGGACTAGATGGACCATTGGTGTGATCCTCCAGGGCTCTTCTTACGTTTGTTGGCCATCCAGATGCACTGGTAGGCCTCTGTGTGAGACAGGATGCTTGACTAGATGGACCACTGGTCTGATCCTGCAGGGTTCTTCTTATATTCTTATGACTACTGATCTGACTCATTATAAAGCAGCTTCATATATATGCATGTGGAATGAAGGCAGGGAAACATGGCAGTATGATATACATTTCAGCACACATTAGGGCGTTAAGAGGTGTATTTACCGTAATGTCTCTACCATTCCTCATTATGGCATGGGATGCCTCAGAGAGTTTTTGTTGCCTTAGGTTGTTTTCTGTTTGCATTATTTTCCAGTTTGGCAAACCTAGTCCCACTGCATTGTCTAGTGGAGGTTTTTGCTGCCTGATTGAATTGCTTTTCATAGACATATATTTTTATCCTCCTTGAACCTCAGTGAGAAAGGTGGTCTCTAAATGAGGTTAATACTAATGTCTATTACGGCTTTGCCTTCCTGGATCATCTTGGTCTTCCATCTTGCTTTTAGCCCTGGGAATACTGTGCTGGGATTGGATGCTGTCAAGCAGGGGCTGTCAAGCAGGGGCACACTGGTGGCCGAGGGCAAGCTGAGCCAAGTGGCTCCTGCAGTGCCAACTTAGACTTGGACCCTTGCGATGATAACTGTGGGCACATGCTTGCCTGCTGTTATCACCATGGCCCCAATCCATGCTAAAAGGACCTTTTGGTGGTGCCAGCAGCTTTGGGGCTGCTTGGCTGAGCTTGCTGCAGGGCTGTTTGACCATTCCAGTCCATCCATGCCATCAAGAGGTTTTTCCATTGCTTCTCCTCCATATAGCTACGGCTGCGCTGTAGAAGCTGATCATAGCACCAGCCTATGCACGGGTTCTCTTTTGCCTTCAGTCATTTGCACTCTGCTCCTTCAAGCAGTTGTTGGGACCAAGCCTGTAATAACACCCCCTAAAAGGCCAGGGCAGAGAAGAGACCAAGACATTTGAGATGACTTATGTTGACTGCTCTTTTCATTCTGACACTTCTTGCCATTTCAAAAAGGCCCCCGGGACTTCCTTGATAAGTGCTGCAACTGAACTGGGAAGATCAATAACCTGCAAACCGAACAGCAGCAGCAGAGGAAATACCCATACTGGATTATTAAGAACAGGTTCTGAGGTCGCATCCTCCCGTGGTTGGATTTTTCATTGCACTATGGCAGTCCTTTGCAACTGGATTTTCCTGGGCTGTGTTTTCCTGCTGCTGCAAACTATTGGAGCTAAGGATGTAGAACATTAGCAGCATGATCCTGAGGGCAGAGGCTGATGAGGCGGAGGCAGGTGGCCGCTGGCAGAACTGTAGCACTGCTGGACTGTTCCCTAATGGAAAACGGGATGGAGGCTGGGGGGGGGGGATTCTCAAGACAGGGCAACTTATAATATGGACCCAACTAACTCCTGCCACGCCCCAGGGCCCACCCCTTCCCACTGGTCTAGGGAGTTGTGCCAGAGGGGCTCTAGTAGGGAGGCATGGTGTTGCTGCACCAGCTCTTGGCAATGGTGCAACAGCAGCGGGCCACTTTGCTAGTGTATCTTGGGGCTGTGTCAACATTGCGGCTGGTCAACTTTATGAGTGCTTCTAGTCCCCCCTACCCCAGGATTGTGCTGTAAATGTTTCTACAATTAGATTGGTAAAGATTCATTTACCATTTATATATTTTATTTGTTATGACATTTATGTTGCTGTAAATTTTTATGCTGTACAGCATGAGGACTGTCTCTGCCTTATGCAAACTGCCCCATTCTCTAACCATTCCCTGATTTTGAGCATCTAGACAGGGATCTTCAGTCCCCTGACAGCCTAGGGGATAAACAGACATTGGCAACACTAGATGGAGTTACTGAAAGAGATCCTTAGCTTCCCTCTCTGTAGAAAACTACAAGGGGGAAAGAAGACTGTTAAACCAGCAGCAGCCTGTAATGTCATTGCTATTTTAAAAAGTTAACTCAGTCTTTCCACCATATATGGCTTTCAAAGTGGCTTACAAAATCCACTAAAATGCAACAAACTTGATTTACATGTATACAAAAGCTGGTGGACAGATGTAGTTTCAGTGTCTTTGACCCACTCCTTAAAGCCTTCTTGCCACTGTGGGTATTGTTCTTGTCTTTGGGTCATGGTGGCTGTACAGTATAAAAACTTCTAGAGTAGATTGCTGAGTTGGTTTTAAGCCAGGTGCTGTCAGTCTCTGAAGGAACAGGGCTTCTCCTGTTCCATTATCTGCCTTCTATAGAACCCAGCTGTTCCTTTCTTGGTGGCAGCTATAGGCAAAGAAGTCTGGGGGGCTGGTGTTGTTTCAGTGACCCAAAACAACATCTCTGGCTTTGTTCCTTCTTGTAAATTCCCAAGGGGTAGCCGTTTTTGTCTTTTGTAGCAAAATAAAACAGAAGACCAGTGTCAATTTAATGGCTAACAACAGTTATTCCAGCATGAGCTTTTATGAATCAGAGAGCTCGCTTCCCCAGATGCAATGAAGAGAAAATCATTATCCTCATATTTATCCAGAAAGTTATAAAAAAAGGAGGGAGGCAAAGGGAACAGTTGGTGGCAGAGAGATGCTAGGCATCATTACTTTGCTACATTGACTAATCCCTTCTTTACCTTTATTCTTTCCCCAGGGACGATGCGTCCGGTGCGAAGGAACTTTTATGACCCTTCCTCTGCTCCTGGGAAGGGGATCGTATGGGAATGGGAAAACGATAACAACTCCTGGACACCCTACGACATGGACATCTGCATCACCATCCAGAACGCTTATGAGAAGCAGCACCCTTGGCTGGATCTGTCCTCTCTGGGATTTTGCTACTTGATCTATTTCAATAGCATGTCTCAGGTGAATCGCCAGACACAACGGAAGCGCCGGCTCCGGCGACGCATGGACTTGGCTTATCCACTGACCATGGGCTCCATCCCCAAGTCCCAGTCCTGGCCTGTGGGTACCAACTCTGGGCATCCTTGTTCATGCCAGCAGTGCCTGCTGGTCAACAGCACCCGAGCAGCCTCTAATGCCATCCTTGCCTCACAGCGGAGGAAGGTGTATTCGGGCAACAGCAATGGGACACTGGCAGTTCGTCAGAGCAATACATTCAATGGGACTGCGCTGTGGTCTTTGGGCACTACTCCGGGTGGTGGGACGGCCAAGATTGAACAGGTCCGCTCCTCAAATGGTGTGCAAGTGACCACCTTCTCGCGCAGTCAGAGTGCTCCCAGCCACACACAGCTCCCTGGTCAGAACAACCTGAATCGGCCTGGTACACAACGTGTGGCTATCCTGAGTACCAGGGCATCCATCCCTCCAGGGTAAGCATTCTTAGCTTCCATTCAGACTCCCGATTCTGTCACAAAATGGTAATCCACAGTCATTCTGCGCCAGATTTTCAGGACGGAGTGGGCTTTATAGGTCAGTGTGTTGCCCTATGGAGCTGGTGGTATGCCTTGTAGATGAAACACTATGGAGCTGGTGGTATGCCTTGTAGATGAAGCATTTTGGGGTGTCAGAAGCTGAAGGACACTATTTGTTCTTTGAAAGTCAGAAGCTGAAGGACATTGTCTGTTCCTTGAAAGGCAGGGATATACCACTGATAGCACAAGAACTCAGTTGTTAGACTGTTGGCCTAGGATTAGGGAGAGCCCAGTTGAAATCCCATCAGCCATGAAGCTCATTGGGTGATCTCGAGTTAAGTCACTGTCTATCCAGCTAGCCTGCCTTAAAGGATTGTCGTAAAAATAAAATGGAGGCAGTAAGTTGTTCATATCTTCTACGAGGAAGGGCAGAATTAGAATGGGATAGATTTTGAGCATGAGAAGGAAGATTTTTGAATATTCACTGAATCTCCACCTAACCTAATTTATCACTTTCTTTCTCATTTTTGCACTTCCCTGGATCTTGTTCAGCACTATGCTTTCTTTTTCCCCTTTCTCTGCTACTCCTAGTGTTGATATTTCTCCATACACATATGGACAGAATTTTTTTAAAAGTTTACTGTACAGTATCAAATGTGGATGCTGCTGTGTTGGTTCCCTTGTGGTTGCCATCTTTTGAAAAAAATTATTGATAAAGTGATAGAAAATATAAGATGGGGGAAGAGAAGACAGCAAAACAACAGTGATATCTGTGTTCACATTACAACAGTCTCAAATTTTAAACAGAAACATGCAAATGGTGAATACAAATATTGTATTAGAATCATGTTGGAAGGTGATTAGAAAAATAAAAAATACTGAAAACACGCCCAGATATTACATTAAATATTGTCAACTTGCAAACTTGAATGAGATGGTCTCAAACACTAAATAACAAGCTAAGTCAAAGCAAACTTTAGAAAACATTCAAAATGCTTCACCAAAAAATCTGTTTAATATTTTTAAAATGTGTCAATAAAACATGAAACCATCCTTTAAATAAAAGAAAATATTTTTAAACGAAAAGAAATTTGCACTAAGTGGGGGATAAGGAAAGAACAGTAACATTATAGCAATATTAAAACATCGCCAACAAGATATTCCCTTAACCTGGGTAGCCCACGCTAGCCCGATCTCATTAGATCTCGGAAGCTAAGCATGGTCAGCCCTGGCTAGTATTTGGATGGGAAACCTCCAAGGAATGCCAGGGTCATGACACAGAGGCAAGCAATGGCGAACCACCTCTGAACATCTCTTGCCTTGAAAACCCTATGTGGCTGCCATAAATCAGCTGTGACTTGGTCCCAGATTGCAAATTAAAAAATCTATAGCATGGGACCAGGTACATAATGTTTCTGCAGACCTGGAAGAACCCCCAAGTTTCCGGGAAATTCAAGATAGAGAAAAAAATGATGGCTTAACCCCCCAAAAGGAGGGAGACGGGGAGAGAGAGAGAAGACAAAGGAGGAGGAGGTGATGGAGGAAGAATAGGCTCCAGATTCACTTTCCTTTGCAAAACAGCCTGGAATATATTTGAGGGATTTCACAAATTGTGTGGGGAGGGGATCCATTATGGCTCCTTTGCTTCCATACTAAGGGAGGTGGATAGAGGGAAAGCAGTGTGTGGCCTGCCTAAAATGCCTCTTTATACTAGCCGAGAAGCTGGGCTATGTCAGCCCTTTCTCCCAGGAAGGAGTCTCAAGCTTACTATGAACCTGGCTGCTGCCCCAGAGAGCAGGCCTTGTGTTACCATGACAACCAGGTGCCAGAGCTATAAAACACTGAGGATTCGCCAGGGATAATTAGAGCCTGGGCCTGTAGGCTTGCAGCAGCAGCTCTCTCCTACCATTCATCCCCTCCCTCTTTACTTCCCCTGCTCTTATCTGCAGCATCCCTTTCTTTTAAAGGTACGATACTTCTGTGTCTTCAGAATGTGGCTTTTCACACTGCTTAGTATTTGGGGGCCAGAGTTCTGGGTACAGATTATCTGTAGATTGTGAATGGTTTATAAATTGCTGCTTTCCCCCCTAAAATACCTGGAAAGTTTCAAACCTTTAATAATTGCCATGTCTATTTTTAAAAACTACAAGCAGTTTACATACAATTATATTCGTAATAACAAGCACGGAATACATACATTTTGAATCTGAGTATCTGTCAAATTTGGGGTTGCCATCTAGCCAGACTTTTACTGGTTCAACTTGAATTTATCCTCTTGCTGCTTGCTAATGTGATAGGATACAAAGCCAAAGAGAAATTTCAGCTGCCGCATGTCATGTGGATGCCCTTAAAACAATACATATGGGGGCGGGGAGGGGGACTGTGTTCAAAGTTCAGTGCACACTAGTGATACCATTAAAGTTCAGGATTATAGTTCAGGGGCCCCTGCCACACGGCAGGGGAAAAGCCTCTTAAGGCGCGGCTTTTAAAAGCCGCGCCAACGTTGAGACGCCGCGGCGGGATCCCACGGATCCCCTGGCCGCGGCGCCTTTTCTCCCCGGCGCGATCAAACACTGGGGAGAAAACACGGCCCGAACGGGAGCCGGCCGAACTGCGCATGTCCGAGCATGCGCAGTTCGGCTCCGGGCCGGGGTTGCGCCGCGATCAAACGCCCGGCTTGAAGCGCACCTACAAGTTGAACCGCCAAGGTAGGTGGTTCAGTTTGCGGCGGATTTGGGCGGGGAAGGGCCAGTTCGGGCACGGAAGCAGGACGTTTCCCAGATGTTGTGGTGTGATCGCGCTGCTTTGATCCGCCCCCGAACTGGCCCGCAACTGGCCCAAATCCCCTCGTGTGGACGGGACCAGAGTACAAAGGACTGTCCAGATAATTAGGAGATGAGCCCAAACCTCTAGCGTTCAGGCTCAGCTGGTCATTACCCCGGAACTAGACCTTCACACTGCTCAAACTTATCTAGCCAAGGACACAGTTGTAGCCTTTCCCATTGCCAGTGCCAGGTAATTCTTGCTGAAAGGAAAGGGAGTGTCATATAAAGTTTGCAAGGGGGATTGAGGCTAGGGAAGCCTTTTTATGCCCTCCGTGATATAATCAGGAGTGTGGTGCTGGTCATTGGCCCACGTTCAAAATGAGCTAATTCAGGGTGAGCCCATTCTAATCTGTTGCCCTATGGAGCTGGTGGGCTGCCTTATAGCTGAAGAGTTTTGTTCATCTTGGTGTGTCAGATGTTGAAGGACACTGTCTGTTCCTTGAAAGTCAGAAGTTAGAATTGTAGAATCATAGAGTTGGAAGGGACCTCCAGGGTCATCTAGTCCAACACCCTGCACAATGCAGGAAGTTCACAGATACCCCCACACACCTCCAATGACCCCTGTTCCATGCCCAGAAGATGACAAAAACCTCTAGGTTCTCCGGCCAAACTGACCTGGAGAAAAATTGCTTCCAGACCTGAAAATGGCAATCAGCATTTCCCTGGGTGTATAAGAAAGGGCCACGAGAACTAAGCACTGATGCAACCCTTCCTGCCCTCCCTCTCATGATCTGTCTAAGTTCACAGAATGAGCATTGCTGTCAGATGGCCATCTAGACTGTTTAAAAACCTCCAAAGTAGGAGAGCCCACCACTTCCCGAGGAAGCCTGTTGAAGGACACTGTCTGTTCCTTGAAAGGCAGGGATATACCACTGATAGCACAAAAACACAGTGAGACTTCCACAGCTTTCACTTGGCAATCACTGTAGCCCCAGAACAGCCCCATCTTTAGTGAGCACCTTCATTGCTTTCTCCGTGGCTTTTTAAGCCACTTCTCATAGGGCCAAACTACATCTTATGATTTGTATTGTAGTAATGTCTGTGGCCCTCCAACTAACTTTGACTTTATTAGATTTATCACCCTATTGATTACCTTGCCACATGGCTCCGATCTGGATCTGGTATGCGGCAGCCCCAAGAGCTCTTGTTCCTCCCATGCCTTTTCAGGTGCAGAAACGGCCCCCGTGGCTGTTTCAGGGCCTGAAAAGGTGTGTGTGTGTGGGGGGGGAAACAAGAGTTCCTGGGGCCCCATGCAACACATTCCCAATCTGGGTCAGAACCTAGGAGAGCTGCAGCCAGTCAGACCAGACAATAGTGAGATAAATGGACCAATTGCCTGATTTGTTGTTAAGCGGCATCCCCTGTGTAGCCCATTGCATAGTAATAGGTTATCTAGTTGCTCACAATGTGGCCTGTTAAATATGGTTTACTAATTGGGGTGTGCCCTGACCTGGATGGCCCAGGCTAGCCTGATCTCATCAGATCTTGAAAGCTAACTAGGGTTGGGCTTGGTTAGTACTCTGATCGGTGACCAGCAGAGAAGACCGGGGTTGCTATACAGAGGCAGGCAATGGCAAACCACCTCTGTTAATCTCTTGCCTTGAAATTCTTACAGGATTGCCATAAATTGGTTGAGACTTGGTGGCACTTTTCACCATCAACCTGGGGTTTATGTTTCCTGTGTAGGGCACTTGCTTGCCTGCCAGTCAAAATGAAAGAGGAAGGCATCTGGCTTGTGCTACTGATTCCGGTCATGCCCAGGAACCAGCTGCTGAGTCTTTTGTGCGCTGGGCTGTGACCACTGTTTGCAAGAGGTTCCTTCCTCCGCATGACTTGGTGTGTTGACTTTCTGGTTACTACCAGGGCTCACTGGGGCTGCCTGTTAGGCAGGGTCTGGCCTTACTTGCAGAGACTGTGCCACTCATGTACAGGTAAGACCATTGGTCCAGAGACCAGGGAGGTTGATATTATCTTAGAGATCTCAATCTAGAAAACAGGTTAATTTCTAAAAAGAGATACCCAGAATCCAACTGTGTCAAAACTGCTGACTTGGAAGTTTGCTTCCTTATTGATGGAGGGAAATATACTCTGCACATGCTCTGAGCCATACCCTTATTTAGTATGATGAAGCAA